ATTTACAAAGCACATCCAATGCACTCCGAACATGGAATTATGCGTATTAATTGATGATAATTAAAGTACACTTTGCCATGTAGCTCATTAGCTGCACAACATTTTCGCTGCGATGCCAGTAAACATTATGTATATAGAAGGGACATTGCAACATTGCAACATTGAATTATGTTTACGGCAGGGATGCAAATCTAAAACAAGCCAATGACCCGCCTCGTGGTTCGGCTCGAGCGCCTGACTTTCCACATGTTATATAGTTCCTAATTTTCTAAATTCTAAATTTTGTCTTTAAAATATGTTTTGGTTTGGATATTTTTTGAGCAATGAGTTTGATTTTAGGTTCGGTTCATAGAAAAAAATTAATTGAATTTGCGATTTTTAACCAGCTTGGAGCTTGAAATATATTACAGGCTGCAGCAAAGACTCCACAAATATGTAAAACGAGAACTTGGCTCGACTTTAAAGTGAGGTTATGACTGCAGGCCATCATTTTGGGATCTGTGCGATATCTCATTAGCAGCGCCAACTAATTAACATAAGTAATTTGCTCTCCCGTTGCGCTACATATTTACTGTTATTTCTGCGCATAGCCAAATTGCGCCCAAGACGCCCATTCAAATGGGGGCGCGAACCGGCCGGCAAAGCGGACACACAGATGCCACAAGTTTAAAGACTGAAACATGAAGCGGCAGGAGCTGAAACGCGGTTACCTGCCAGGAAGCTAATCACAGTCGTGTGGGTGGTTGGGTGGTTTGGTGGTTGAGTGTTTGGGTGGTTCGCTCATTTATCTTTGCGCGCGAATAAACACAAAAAGCTAGCCGCAAAAAAACAAGTTAGAGCTTGCTGGCCGGGAGTGTCCGACTAGCAGATACCCGTTAACGAGTGTCGAGCCGCTGTAAGCAGATACTTCACCTATCTTAGCCCCCAAATAGGGTAAATGGATTCTCTAATAGCTTAAGAGTTTATAATCCGATATTTATAAGATATTCAGAGCTTCTATATGGCAGCTCAGATTACATATATATTAATTCCATTTTGGTAAGAATGGGCGCAGGTATCTTATAAATTAAATCGAAATTATTGATACTTATGAAGAGGGCGCTGATATCGAAAAAATATTATGTTTTTATATTATGCGCATGGAATATGAGAATACTATATATGTATATTTTAACTTGTATATCTCTAGCTACCCGAGACAGAGAGACGAATCGAAGCCCATGGCTTGATCGACTCAGCTGATGAAGAATATATAAGATTTATGGGTTCGACAATGCTCCTTCCGCCTCTTACATACGTTGGTACAAAAGCATTATACTTCCTTGCTCAGTGCGATTGCTCACAATGTAAAGCTTGACATCAGTCGCAGAGTCTTCTTTTGGTGACTCTCAAGCTGGCCCTCGAGAAATACGGGTATTTCCGTTATTTAGGTGCGGTTATAGGCGCGACTGCAATATTTGTGGTTTCATCTTTGGAGGATGTAATTATAGTTAGTATATATGCCAAAATTGGTGACTAGCTTTAGGACTGGGAAAGATATAGGTTTTCTCATGAAATATTCTCTGACGCGGAAAACCTCGCTTACATACATATATCCAGTTTAATGACCTCTGCAAACATTGCACAAAACCAATAAACTCTCTTACACTTTATCGAACAGAGTATTAAAAGACCGAGCAGTGGCTTACATGATGGATTTCCAATGGCATTAGAGGCCGTTGCAAGCAAATGATATTTTGTAAATAATATAGCGACACGTTTGCTGCCGGCAGCGCAGTCGATGTCGATGTCGACGTCGCAGTCGTTGATAGCGACCTGGACGGAAATTAAATTTGGTCACGTTAATTGCCCCCGATTAGAGCATTTCGGTCATTATGATAAGCACCGTGGCCAGCAGGCGCGGCCAGCGTCTGGACATTGACAATGGCAATGAGTGGGCGAACGAGCAGAAGCTTGAGCTATGCGCTTGAATTCGAGTAGACCGGAGTGAGCATGTATAAAGTTATGTGACCTTTTAAATGGCCGGTTGCCAGTTGAGGAGTTGAGAATTTTTTGCGATTTTGATATCTTTTTGCGTGGCGGCTTTTCTGTGATTAATTATTAATTAATTAGGAGCTTTTCTGTGGCTTAGTTGCCTTCGTTTCATTTGGCAAATGTTAAGCTGGCAAACGCCTGGTTGCCCGCTCGTACGGCCGCCGTGGCGTATAAGTAATATTTGGCCAAAACAAACACAACAGCCAACATGGCCAAACAATGAGACCCGGCCACGCTTCAATTCCTTTACCGTCACACTTCATGCATTGCCATTGTTTTATATTTTATATTTTCTTTCATTTCGGATTCTTCTTAAACAGCACGCCTTCTAAGCAAGGCAGAAAGTGTCGTCCGCATGGGCAGGAGATTGCCATAAAATCGTTGCAGAAAGCAAAACAATACGACATTAAAGCGTGAGTGTGAGTGTGCCTGTGCGTGTGTGCATGTGTTAGTCGTGTCTGTCAACTTTATTACGCATACGCCCCGCTGTGCTTATACCTTTTGTCTCTCATGTGTTTTATGCTTGCGCTCAATTTACAATTGCCAAAGGGCAAGCCCACAACCAGCCGGTTCCCATAGCAGCTGCCATTCACAGGGGTTTAGTAAAAACAATTGATTCCATGACACATGGTATCACAGGGCACTGCTGCACAATTCCATTAGAACAATGAAATATGTCCGCAGATAAATTGAAATCTCATAACATATATTTAATTTTCATTTGAAAATTCCTTGCTATTTATTAGAAGCATTCCACGTGCAGTAATTTATTTTTAATTTTTATAAATTTTCAAGTGTTTTCCAGTTTACTTCTAGGCTTCAAATTATTTGTATCTTGACGCATGAAAACAACAAAGAAGCAAATGAAAATTAAAAAGCTCAAGACAAAACAATTGTTAAAACAGGTTCAAATCTCTGGCAGGTATTTAAATAATATGCAATATGTTTTTATAGCAATATATGATTCGAATAAATTGTTGTTTCAATATTCGAAAATTAGTTCTCCTATAAGTTTAATTAAAAAACTATTGCTTTTATCGCAGCTATATAAGATGTTTGAGATATTTGGTACAAATTTCTAGAAACTCAGTATGTTCAACATAAAAAAGGGAACCCACACATATTTGCACTTATAGTGTAGTTGTTTAATCCTATCCACCTACTAGAAAAATGTTTAAGCTTTGTCAAAAATACTCGCAATAAAGTCAAAGGATTTCCGTGTCAAACGCCTTTCCTAAGCCAACATAACTATTGCTAAACTTCGTCAAGATTGATTTAAGCCCAACAGAGCATTCAGACGGGCATGCCCATATAGACATACAGTCAGTAGATGTCAACCAAGTCTGATATGACTGCTTCTAGGCGAATTTATATTCAATATATAACCACACTGAATCATTCATTCGACATCAGCTTGTCTTAGTCAAATCTTCAAGAGATTTTAATATCCCATTCTCTCAGATAAAATTGAATTTAAAAAGCAAAGCCATTATATATAAGATATGGCTTACCAAAAATGGCCATTTAGTGGCATTTAAAGGAGTGCTGCAGCAAATGTCGTGCCTCATAAAACCAACACACTCACAGAAACCACACACTTACGCCCATAAACAAAAAGTGAGAAGGCTCTAGGTGCGCGAGTCCGACTAAAAGGTACCCTAATCCTTCTGTAGCACGGATGTTACATACATTTGAATATTCTTCTTATATATACGAAAAACACACTAATTTGTGCATGAAGATAACTGTGCTTCTTCTTCCCCCAATCTTAAAAAGCTTCAGTGATTATTGTCCGATCCTTGTGAAATTTTCAATGCACAAATGTGACATGCAATTGTGCATAGATCACAAAGGGCGTGGTTCTAGCTTTAAATTGTTGCCATCCGAATAATACTCTTAATCTATGTATAATATACAAGAACCTGTCTACTGAGCTTAATGTATATAGCTCTTATAATCTTCGAATTGTGCTCAAAAAAGCCATAATCGAGTTTTATCGATATGATGAAATTGGAAGGAGTTACCGTACATATCCTATACATGTCATAGGATAATATATATATTCAAACTTCAAGCCACTAGCTTTTGGACAGGGTATAAGAAAAAGGGTTTAAGCCAGCTGACAGAAGCCCACGGTTTCAATAATCTTCACATCAGCTGCAATTAGTGTAAGTGCTCACAGGAATTGTTGCTACATCTCTTGACAACGTTCTTTTCACATTTCATGTTCAAGGCCTGAGCTGTTGTTGTTGCTGGCATTTTTTCAGAACGACATTTGGTCGTGCCTCAGTCAGTCGGTCAGACAGATAGACAGGCAGGAGTGAGTGCGGCGCAGTTGCCGCCGTGTTGAGCTTTATTTGGTTATTCGGGCAATTAAGTTTGTTGTTTTGCAGTTAAGTGTAAATTTACACACACACACAGCCACATGCCTGTTTAAATGTGTTTGCAACTTCAAAGATACATAAGTAGCTGCAGCTGCACTTGTTGGGGCAAGTGAAGCGTTGCCAGTGCAGCAAAAAAATGCTGTGCATAGCACAGTTGATTCATTTTATAAACTGTTTTATCGGAAATGAAGCACAATTCCAAATACCTGTTGATGCTGCATAGAAATTGCAATTGTATCTCACAGGCAATTTAGACTATTTCGCCTTATAAGTTGACTGGTTAACTGCAAGAGCTGCGTAATTATTGAACAGCCTATATCAAGTGCTTTTCACATCTATAATTAAAGTTTCTTTCGCTGCTAGATAAGCAAAAGAGGTGTTGACATTTTCCGAGTGTCAGCACATTCAGATCTTAAGTTGTCAAACAATTTGCTTATGCGCTTGAGCAGCGATAACGAGCGCAGGCATTTCTTAAAAAATAGATGTAAAAAAAATAAATATATACTTATATAAACGCTTAAGTGCTAAACAAGCAAATCTTAATCTAATAACAAGCATACAAAGCAACAGAAAACAACTTACATTAGGTCAACGGCTGCTTAGGTAAACCTCCTACCCCCTTTCTCGCTCGCTCTCTCTCTAACTCTTTCTGTAGGTCTCACTCGTTTGCATAAATAGCTTGAGATGATTTTTTAAACGCTTTTCAAAAACTTGCTGAACAGGTGCCAAATGTCGCGCTGCGCTTAACGCACAAATAATAAAGACCGAAAAAAACACTGGAAAGACTAAAAACATAAAAATCCAACTGTAATCTTTTAAGTCAGCTGATTTTCACGCGCGGTTCTTCAGTAATATTAATATATGTCTCTCAGTATCCGTTATTTACTTAATATAATATTATTTTCAGTTTCTTTTCTAATGTTTTCAATTTATGTAGCTCAACCGAAATGTAGAGCACTGCCAAGAATATAATTTTTAAAATATTTCGCTCTGGTTTTCTTCTTCTTGCTGTTCAATTTGCTTGAAGCACTTTTTCATTGAATATTTTTAAAATATTTTGAAATTTTTACGCACACCAACAACAACGATTACACTGTGCTCTTTTTTAGCACACACTATCTTATTTTTTGGATTTTTGTAGACAGCAAAATTGTTTTTGTTTCAATAATTTCCGTTTTTTTCGTGTTGAATTCTCGTTTTGTTTTTATTTTCACATTTATTTATTCAATGCAGCAATTTAAAATTCTCACACACTTAGCAGCGGCTACGGCTCTTGTTGTTGTTTTTGGTATTTATTTTATTTATTTATCTTTTTTTTTTTTGTTGTTCTTTAGTTTCGCTTTTTCGCTGACCGTTACGCGCAGCCCCAAAATATTAGAAAAAACGCGTGAAAATTGCGGACGCGTCGCTGTTCCCGTCCGCCTAAGCACTTGTCGCTGCCTTGATGCGCGCACGTTGAAAGTTTAACTGTAAATTCGGAACATACGCGAACGCCGAGCAGCGGAGCGAGCAGCGGCTGTGGCAGCGGCAGATAGTAGGCGACAGCGGCGTCGGCAGCCAACAGCAGGCGAGCAGCAGCCAAGCAGCGAAGATGGGTAGCAGCAGAGGCGCTAGCACGCTTCGTACCTGTGTCTGCGTAACAGCAACAGCAGCAGCAGCAGCGGCAGTCGCTGCTCCAGCAATAGCTGCATAGCGTTAACAGCGGCTGGTGGTTCTCACGCTCTCACTCATACAATTGCGCGCTGTTATCAGCCGTCCAAGTCACAAAGCATTGCCGTCTGTGTAACAGTATCAGTGTGTCAGTGGGTCGTTCGGGCACCCACAACTACTGTTAAGTTGTATGAGCGCAAGCTTCGTACTTTTTCACTCTCTCGTTCTGTTCTGCTATTCAGCTGAGCTGTGTGCTCGGAGCGCCAGCACATTATTGCATGCGAGAAGCCCAACGCAAAGCTGAAATGAATGTGAAAACTTTTCAATTAGGACATATTATACTTGATATAATAATTTCATTTTTGTTTCTTAGCTTCACAGCAAAAAATTAGTACTTTTAAAATGATATTTAACTTAATAGTTGTGTTTAACTTTAACGCTAGTCGGCGCAAATTAAAAATGGCGCGCAAGCATGTAAGCGCTGCGCTGACTGCTGTTAAAGGAAGAGAGCGCAAGCCAAATCTGTTAAGTTAAATTGTTAGCAGTGCTAGGCCAAGAGAAAAAAGTACGCTAACAGAGTCCTGCTTTGACTTAATATCACGCAGGAGTTTAAATCAAACACTAGATTAAAAATTCATAAAACGAATGCGTGATAAATATAGTTAACCCCAATATAGATTATTTTCATGGTAATATACATGTTGAATTGTCAATTGTAATCCTAAACAATCATTTTTGACACTTAGAGTAGGTTATTTCTGATTCTTGCAACATTTTATTAACAAAACTTTTCTTAAGTTTGTTTACGTAAACATATACGGATTAGTTTCATAACTCTTGACATAACCGCCAAGTTTCCCTTAAAATATTCATAACAGTAAAACAGTAAACAAAAAAACATTATTTTGATAGAAAACAAAAAGTAAAACTTTCGCTATTCAATTATTAAAGAATTGCCAAAATATTTTGGCTTTCAAAATTGTTTCATATCCCATATGGAAGTGCGCATAATAATAACCGATAATCAAAACAAAATAAATTAAAGATTTATAAGCTAAACATCAGCTGTCAGAGGGCAAAAGCTCATACATAAATCTTTTTGCTAAGCACACGCTCCATACTCAAATAAAATGCGTGGAATTATTATTATCTAAACAGTGGGGCAATTCATATGCCATCGCTCAAGAGCACTTGAAGAGCACTGGCAGCGCATTCCTATATGGTATGCTGTACGGTAATGTGTACGGTAGGGTGTATGGTAGGGTGTTTTGCTGTATTTATTAGGCATTTTTCTTTGTTTTTATTTGCGGCTTTTCGAATGGAGGGGAGAACGAAAAAACATGAAAAGAAATATTTCCAATCAATTGGCAAACAGCAACTAATAAAAACTCATATGCGAACAGCACGCAACCCCGCAACCAACACCCAGCTGCAATAGTAAAAAATAATAAAAGGCCAACGGAAAAATGTTGTTCATTCATTAAAAAAAAATTCATTGAATAGAAGCAGATCAACAATACATTCATATAACAACCGACAGAATGACCAGACAGATGCAGTCCACATACACACACACACACCAACACATATATGTGTACATATAGCGCAAATGTTTATTTTCAGAAAAAAATAACATGAAAAACAACAACAACTGCCAGAGCAACTGGAAACAAGAGCACTTGGTGCGATAAAATATGTTTTTTTAATGCAGCTTCGTGTTCGATGAAAGTGCCACAAGTAAAAACAGGTACTAAAAAACGAAGAGAGTAACCAAACATGTAGCCAGCCGCCTATACTCTACTGACAGGTATGCCTTTTTAAAAGAAATGTAAAATATTTTGAAATAGCTAAAAAAAAAACCAACACTATTTCTTTAGCTATTTGTTAAGTATACAAGTATAGAACATAGCCTTAGGAAAGCGTATCTTTTAGGCGGCCAGTGCCGGCCAAAAAAGTTTAGCTTTGTTGTGTTTTTTATGCAGTCAGTCAGTGTTTGATTAAATATATGCTCTACTTAATATTCCAATTTGAATGCTATTAAAAGATTAACATTCATTTAAGTTGATTTTTTCTTTCGTATAGCAGGAAATGAAGAATTGCAGCGAAAGTGTGTTGGCTACAGTCAAAGCTTACAAATAAATAAAAGTTTGGATAAATTTATTTATTTATTTTTATACCCTAATCCCATTGAAAATGCCTAAAAAGGGTTTAATATTTTTGTACAAATGTATGTAACTGGCAAAAGAAAGCATGTCCGACCCTATAAAGTATATATATTCCTGATCAGCATCAATAGCCGAGTCGATCTAGTCAGGTTCGTCTGTCTGCCTTTCCGTCCGTAAGTCCGTTCGTCCATATAATTGAACGCAAGGATCTCAGAACCTATAAGAGCTAGGGGCTCTTACTGCCTACGCAGTATGAGTTTGTTTCCGATAATCGATAATTTACCCCGTTTCCAAGCAATCGATATCGAAATTCTGTTTATTGAGCAAATCTCTTTGGTTTTAACGGCTAGAATCACCAAATTTGGCATGTAAATTCTAAAAAACTGTATACAGAACAAGTTTTTTTTTAAGTTTCAGCTGCATTTGGTGTGCGTAGAAAAATGTTCAGGCCATCCCCTAGTCGGGCTTTCCCGACCTCTTATCTGTTTACGTTTATTAAAGTGATTTTAATAGATCTAAGCCTATATTCCAAATGTATATTTAAAGTATAATACCTATAAACGAGTGAAAATTAATTAACAATTATATGAAATAAACAAAATTAGTAAGTATAAAACTTTTAAGTAAAAAACCCGAACCTTCTTCATTTAAAATCGCAAAAACTGTTAACTGTGTTACAAACCGAAAACGGGGCTCAATGCTTCAAAAAACATTTTCCCACACACCAAGCCCGAAGGCCTCGGCCCGAGCTCGAACTGCGCACCGCACCACTAATATAATTTTTCAATTCTTGCAGTCATGATACGTGCAAAGCTGCAGCAGAAGCCAATGAATGACATCTACATATATCAAAAACTAGTGGACATGTTTAGGATTCATGCTGCAGCACTTGTAGTTTTTACGAGTCGCTCGGAGCGGCGATTCAATTAGCAGATACGTCGAACCGAAATGCACAGCGAGGCGAACGCACGACGCATAAAACTTTTTTTATGATGTCAGAAGGTTGTCGGTTCGGTTGGGCGCAATGGAAATGGCCAATAGTGAAAATGACATATTGTGTGTGTGTGTGCGTGTACTTACCGAGGGCCATCAAATTGTGACACCAACGCCCCGCCTCGGGCCCCACAAACTCCCCACCGAACATCATGGTCAATGGGCAGTTTGCACGTAACTTGTGATAGCGCATAAGAAAATAAGCGATTATACGCGTACTGTAGATACTGCAAATGTTGAATGCGTTTTTGAGATTTTACGAGTTGCGAGATGTCAGAAATAGATAAACAAGACAAATTTGTAAAGTATGTTATTAATTTTAGTTAAGTTTATTTGAGCTTAACTATATTTATATTTATCTATATAAAAAAGCATGTCCTGACTGCTGATCAAGGCTCAGTCCAAGCCAGTTTCCAAGCAGCAATTTTTTTTAAAGCTTCATAATTTGAGTGGTCAATGCAAGTATCCTCGATCAAGTATTAACATTAAACCCTGGCTAATAGACCTTCACTATATATTTTAAGCAGCTGCCTTTAGAACTATGCGCCGCAGGAAATTCAAGTATTTGTTGTTTGTTATAGGAAATTGAAAGAAATGCAGAGAAAAATGGTCGAGAGGCATGTCAATTGGCGCGCGATGCGAAGACAAAACTGTTGCCCAAGTCAACTGGAAACAATCATAAATAAATAAAATATGTATGTATTAAGCAAATACACAGCAACGACAGCAGCCCGAACGTTGGCGTGGCCGTGGGAGTGGGCGTGCCAATGGCAGCTATACACAAAATTGAATTTGATTTATGATAAATTCACAATGATTTATGCCCTTTGAGCGCACATTTTTCCACGGTGTCCAGAGTCTAAGCCGATCAAAAGGGCGACCGCAAAGAAAAATAAAGGAAAATCGCATTTCGCATTCTCGCATTATTCAATTTCGATACTCTGTTCAATGAGTGAAAAAAAAGTATATTGATCTATGGAAATGCTAAATGCATCCCCCAATTTACAGTTTTACAGACACTGCTTTGGGTTTGCAGTCTCAGATTTCTTTCTTTTTATGTGAGCAGAGTATTGTGGACTCGCTTGCAGCCGACCCTATTACTAGTTTCTTTTTTTCATTTGACTAAAATACGTTCGGCTTTCCGTTTGTACAAAAACGGGGTGTATACAATACATTCCCAACAGGCCCCTTACCCACACCTTTTCATGCATATAAATTGTCTGCGTAAGAAGTTTAAAAATCCGTTGCCTACTTTTGCGGGCACCATTTGCCGTTTGTTGATTTCCTTCGCCTGGCCTTGCTGTTTTCCTTTTATTTGCGCTTCATTTGTATGTGTATATAAGAAATATGAAAAGCCTTTTTTGCATATTTTCACATGCTTGTTTCGCTGTTCTTAAAATACCCAAAAATATTCAGCTTGTTGAGGTAGTTTAAACAAATTCCGCATTGATAAGTTGCCAAATTGTTAGAATAACCGATGAAAATTTGACAGACAGATTATTTCTTGGTAACGGTTGGTATGTCCTTGAAGATAGAATTGTGTACGTCTGGCGATTTGCCCACATGATACGATGCAAGAACGAAATATTGGTAAGGTCAGAAAGTAGACCTTTTTAATTTTGTATGCTTTAATACTTCACAAACGTACAAAAAATGAAATTTGTTTAAGTATTTAAAGTGTATATGTCGAAATTGTATTCCTATCCTTCA